GGCGCGCCGGCCCCTCAGGCTCTGAGGCTCTGAAGTTTAGGGGTTTAGGGGTTTAGTTTTTTTTAAATAGGGTATAATAGGGTTGAGGGTTTAGGGTTTAGGGGTTTAGGGGTTTAGTTTTTCTTTTAAGGCTTAGGCTCTGAAGTTTAGGGGTTTGGGTTTTTTTTTAACGTTTATAGGGTATAATGGGGTTGAGGGTTTAGGGTTTAGGGGTTTAGTTTTTCTTTTGAGGCTTAGGGTCTCTATAATAGGGTATAATAGGCTCTGAATTTTCGGTCTTAGGGGTTTCGGGGTTTAGTTTTTCTTTTAAGGCTTAGGGTCTCAAAAAAAGGGTATAATAGGCTCTGAAGTTTAGGGGTTTGTTTTTTTTTGTAACGTTTATGGGGTATAATGGGGTTGAGGGTTTAGGGTTTAGGTGTTTAGGGGTTTAGTTTCATTTTTGTTTTAAGGTTTAGGGTCTCTATAATAGGGTATAATAGGCTCTGAATTTTCGGGTTTTCGGGTTTTAGGGGTTTAGGGGTTTAGGGGTTTAGGGTTTAGGGGTTTAGGGGGTTTCGGGGTTGTCGTCTTTTTTTAAGGTTTAGGGTCTATAATGGGGTATAATAGGGTTGAGGGTTTAGGGTTGAGGGGTTTAGGGTTACTAGGTTCAGGGGCTTAGGGGGTTTAGGGTTTAGTTAGGTTTTTTTAAAGGTTTAGGGTCTATAATAGGGGAAAACAGGGTTGAGGGTTTAGGGTTTAGGGTTTAGAGGTTTAGGGGTTTAGGGGTTTAGGTTTTGGGGTTTTAGGGCTTAGGCGGCTTAGGTATAGATTTCGGGCTTTCAAGGGCTCCCTGAGCCCTGAACGCTTATCCCCGAAATCCCTAAACACCGAAACACCTGAGCACCGAAACACCTTAAGCCCTTAAGCCCGTAAGCGGAAGCCCCTTAAAGGCTTGGGGGTTGACGGCGCCGGACCGGAGAGCTTGTTGGCACGACCCTGCGTTTTGGAAGCTCACATTGACATGCTCAGGCTCTGGGTGGGTGTTTTTTTTGGGTTTAGGGTTTAGGATTTAGGGTTTAGTTTCAGTCTTTCGGGTTTAGGATTTAGGGTCCAGGGCCGCGGGTTTAGGGCTTAGAGCTTTTTTTTTTCAGGGTTTCTGTCAGGGTTTCGGTGAGTTATGTAGAGGAGCGCATCTTTTGAGCACTCCTAGACTTTACAACTTACTCCTCATCAATGGCCTCGGTCCTGAACCCTAAACCCTAAACCCGAAACCCCTAAACCCTAAACCCTATAAACCCTAAGCCCTAAACCCTAAAGCCTAGACCCTAAACTCCTAAGCCCTAAACCCTAAACCCCGAAGCCCTAACAAGATGATTCCCGGATCCGAACCCCTAAAGCCCCAGAGCACCACCGACTTGTGAGCTTCTAATGTTTCTTTATCCTTCTGGGCTTCAGGGTTTAGGGCTTGGGTTTGGGGTTTCGGTTTAGGGTTTCGGGTTCTGGATTTAGAGTTTAGGGTTTAGCGCCAAGACCCCTGTGGGGGCGCGGAGGCTTCTTTGGAGGCCTCTGTGCCCAATACCCTCACAAAATAGTTGCAGAAGGAGGTAGAGGTAGGGTTGCGGGTTTGGAGTTTAGGATTCCGGGAGTAGAAGCCTACGGACATAAACCGCCCTTGGAAACCATGTGAAAGCTTAAGAAGAGGTCGAGAGGTGATCGCCGCATTGCTGGGGGAGACCTCCGTAGCGGAGCAGGCGGCAGCGGCCCCTTGAACTGCAGTACAGGAGGCAGATTGGGAATTCGAGACGCCTTGAACTAGAGAACATACCTTTAAACATCTTAAAATAAAGATCCCTGTGTGATGGAAGGTATACCACTTACATTAAAGGGTTTTTGGTGCCTGGAGTCTTGATGTCCTAGAGCTCCCTTTCCCCGAAGAAGCTCCCAGTGCCCGGAACAGAACAGAGGGAACTGAATACCGGTAGGTAAATAGTAGAAAAGAGAACATTACGGTTTAGGATTTAGGGGTTTAGGGTTTAGGGTTTAGGGTTTAGGGAACATTATAGTCGTAGTTCATAGTCGTACTACGAATAATGCGAAGAACCTCGAAGGATTGTTTTCAAGTATGTCTCTGGTATGGTTGTATCAAGGAGCCCTAAGGAATAATACTGGGAACTGTTTTAGGCTTCTGCAGATTAGGGTTTCGGGGTGGGTCTACACAAGCTTTAGGATGCAGCAGATACGCAAACCCTAAACCCTAAACCCAAAAAAATCCGAAAGCCCTTGCGGTTTAGGGGTTTAGGGTTTAGGGGTTTTGGGGGATTAAAGGTGCCAATCTCCGGGGTTGAAAAGAAAACTGTTCAAACCGCGACAATACCACATTAAAAACCATACAACAGGCAGGAAAGACTCTACACCGCCGCCCCCCCCCCCACATTGAACCACTCTAAAGCCCCTCCAAAACCCTAGACCCTAAACCGCAACACCCCCCAAAGACCCTAAACTCTAAACCCTAAACCCAAAACCCCAAAGCCCCTAAGCCCTAAGCCCCAAAACCCCAAAGACCCTAAAGCCNNAAGCCCCCCCCCCCTCCCCCCCATTCAACCCCCCTAAACTCAGATCCTGGTCCAGCCGGGAATGCGGCAGCCCATGGCGTGGGAGTTGAGGCTCCAAGGGGGGGCCCTTTGTGGAGGTCCTCCACGAGTTCTCCAGCCCTAAAAGCCTAAACCCTGAACCCCAAGCCCTAAACCCAAACCCTAAACCCTGAACCCTAAAACTTTTTCGGGGGGGGGGGCTCGGCTTTCTTTGGGCTTTCCCTTCTTGTCAACTCTGGGCCCTAAACCATAGTACAGAAGCTTGAACACTTGCCGATGTGATTCCTGAGGTTTCCTTACTGTATTTATTCTAAGGTATATACCCCAAGACCCTGTTGCAATCATTAAGGCGCTTCTATAATCCCTAAACCCCAAACCCTAAACCCTAAACCCTAATCCCTAGCCCTAAACCCTAAACCATCGCATTTGGGAGTCAGAAGAGCATCCGCAGCGCAGGTCGGGCAAAGACGATCTGGGCACCCTCGAGGCACGCGGGGCTTTTTTGTTTTAACGTGAGGGTTTCGGGTGTCTAGGGGTTGTGTGTGTGTAGGTTTTTTTACGATTTTCTCGGTTTCGACTCTGAAGAGTCGTATGTGGCGAGACACAGTCACGTGGACGGTGCGGTCTGTGGAAGCCGTGCAAGGCTGATGCTGTCTGAGGATTTTCGAACCTGTACTGTGGAGTTGGGTGGAAAAGAGTTTAGGGCCGTTTAGGGTTTAGGGTTTACGGCCTAGGGTTTAGGGTTTAGTTCTTCAGTCGCTCAGCTTGTGCCTGTGCCATGAGCCGTAGCAATTGAAAGCACTGCAACGGCTTAAGCATGAAGATCCTTCAGGAAGACTGCACGGGGGTCGTTAGAAGCCCCCTTCAGGGTGTAGTCTGATAGTTAAACCCTAATAAGATGTGTAGAGCACTCGGGTTCGCGGTACTGCAATAGATTTCGCTGCAGGGGGCGGAGACCGAACGGTGGCTTCAAGAGGTTCAGCGCAGCGTGCAGCAGGCTGGGCAGGTTTGCTTGGAGGATTCGGGGCTTTGGGGCTTTGGGGTTTAGGGTTTAGGGTTTTGGGCTTAGGGTTTAGGGTTTAGGGCTTAGGGTTTAGGCTTGTTCAAGGTGTCAGAGGTTTTCGACTGTCAGAAGATCAAAGCACTGATTTGCAGAGGGCCCGGTGAGCAATCCTAGCCTTGGGGTGTTGGGTTTTGGGTTTAGTGTTCAGGGAGTAGGGTTTAGGGTTTAGTGTTCTGGGCTTAGGGTTTAGGGTTAGTGTGACTTAGTGTTCAGGGAGTAGGGTTTAGGGTTTAGTTTAGTGTTGAGGGAGTAGGGTTTAGGGTTTAGTGTTCTGCGCGTAGGGTTTAGGGTTTAGTGTTCAGGGAGTAGGGTTTAGGGTTTAGTTTAGTGTTCAGGGAGTAGGGTACAGGGTTGAGTGTTCAGGGAGTAGGGTTAGGCTTTAGTGTTCTGGGTGTAGGGTTTAGGGTTTTGGGTTTAGGGCGTAGGGAGTCGAGAGTAGGGGTTTGGGTTCAGGGCGTAGGGAGTAGAGAGTAGGGGTTTGGGTTCAGGGCGTAGGGAGTAGAGAGTAGGGGTTTGGGTTCAGGGTTTCATTTCAAGTTTCTGGGTGTCTCGTATCCATATCGGAGAGAAGACATGAAGATAGTTGGGATAGCTGAATTCCTCAACGACGCCGCAGCAGAGACAGACACCCCTAAACCCTAAAGAGGGGTTCGAAGTTTCGGATTTCACGATATCGCCTCGCTCGAATTGTTATGCTTGTTTGTGCTGTTTCATTTCAGCACAATATGCCCTCTTTGCTACGTGAACATATAGCCTAGGCAAGAACCTCGAAACCCTAAAGGCCTACAGCCCCAATGGACTACAGCAGTCCCTCCGGGTTCGGGAGGGTTTAGGGTTTAAGGTTTAGGCTGTCGGGGGTTGGAGGCTTAGGCGGAGGCTTTTGTCTGAGGCCAAAAGAGAGAGACCCCGAAAGTCAAAGCCAGTGTAGGCTTTGGGCAGCCGTCTCAAGTCCGAGCGGCTCCGTATGCGGCTTTCCTCGGCAGGCCTGGCATAGTTCACGGTTTGGGGGTTGGATATTCGGGTTTAGGCAGTAAGTTGACTTCGGGTTTACGTCTTCTGCACTACAGTCATGAAATCAGTCTGTCTTTTCCTATGAGATACGGTTATGCGTCTATCGTCTATGTACATCTGTATAGACGGACAAGGCAAGCCGGAATTGGAGCACACACGAAGTAATGGATGAATGTAAGAATGACTAAGTGTACCTATGCTGCAGACCCAGAACTGACACCCGAGACACGAGCCCTAAGCCGCAAAACCTAAACTAAACCCTGCACCCGACCCAGTGTGGCATGGAATCCGTGGCCCGCTCCGAGCCTTTTGGCTGATCATGCACACGGATCACCGTACCGTCCACGCAGTCGACCATGGTCCTGGCTTTTCACTGCCGGGTCTTGAGCATGATGCTCTTGGTGCAAGCAGTTGCTCGGTTTAGGGCTTTGGGTTTAGGGGCCTTGAAAACGTTTTTTTTGTTTCTGGCTCCAGAGACTTTGGTTAAGCTTCTGATATTATAGATTCATTCGTAAGCATGAGCGGCCAGACTTTTGACAGGGCCTCCAAGAACAAGCAAGGTTGATGCACATGCTGTAGACAGCTGTGCCGGCGGCGTGTCCCTGCTGCAGAACAGCCTCCACGTCCAGTCTCGTGCACGTGGCCTTCAGAGAGCAACCAAGCCGTGGGAGACGTACTTGTACTATGTAGGGACTCATCACAAAGCCGGGAGCCAGCTGACACGAAACACCATGAAGTGGGCTCTCGACTTTCTGGGAGCCAACTATTCCTGTCAGGAGCATCATTTTCAGCACGCCACTCTGACAACAGTGGGAGGCCATAACAAATGTGCCGTCTCTTCGGACTGTCGCATTCACTGGGATAATGTCGCCACCCAAGAACGCGTTCAGTCGAATCGCGAGCTGGCCGGTGCAGGTGGCATGAAGTTCGCTCATGCTCTGCGTGACCCCAAGACGATGCTTGCCTCCTCCTACTGTTATCATCATCGCGGAGAGGAGTATGGCAATCCCATTGCTCCCTGGCCGGACATCATGTACATGGGGCCGCTCGAGGGCTTGCATGCTGTTTTCGACGGCATGATGAACATCTTCCAGAACATGGTGAAGATTTACACTAACTCGGAAGCTGACACATACCACTCCCGCTATGAGGACATGACGGAGTCCTCCGAAAGCTTCGACACCCACGTAAAGGCACTCTTTGCGCCTCGGATAGCATTCATAGGCTTGGCATGTTAGTCATACTTGACACAGCCCACACTCTACGCCCTAACACCCGAACCCTCCGCACGAACCACGCCTATCCCGCAGTGGTTTGCTCCTTACTAAACCCGGATCTTCCATCCTAAAGCCCTCAGCTTACGCGCCGAATGGCCCAGCACCCTCAACCCCTGAACGGCTGAACCATCAGGACTTCATGTTTGAAGATCTCATAACGCCTGAAGAGCATGAAGCGATCCGCAAGCGGGCGAAGAAGGAAGACCTCAATCGGGGTGAGAATGGTCTCTCCGCTGGCAAGAACCACACTAACAGCGAGGACATCCATGAGAGTTTTGCGGTTTGGGTTTAGGGTTAAGGGCCTGTGCTTAGGACAACCTGCTTGATTGAGGAGCTTTTAGAATTGCTACATTTGGACGTTCCATATGAAGACCTTCGAAAAGTAGTTCTAGCATGTTCAGGGAGTTTGGGGCCCATCGGCACCGACCTTTTCAACCCAAACCCGGCACCCCAAATTTCCACGAGCCCAAACACTGAATCCCTACAGTACCTGAAACCCCCTGCATCCCCAACCCAAAAAACATGTTTATGGCGACACCCCTAAACTCCTAAACTCTAAACTTGCCATGTGCCTTGTTGTCGTGGCTTCGAGCCCTTTGATGCGAGGAGTGTGAGGCTAATGCGCTTGCGGTGCTGGAGCAAAGCCCGGACATTTACCAGCCCATCCAGGAGCTGATACTAACTGCCAGACCCAGAACTGGATCCCCCAAAAGAAGGTGTCACCCTAAACCCTAAACCGTAAACCCTAAACTCTAAACCGCAAGCCTGAAACCGTAAGCCGAAAAAGCCGTAAGCCCGAAACCCGAAACCCTTAACCGTCAACCAGAAACCAAAACGGAGACCCCAATTTGTGGTTTGCTGTATGCGGGTTCGGCTTTTGCTGGCCTAGGCTCCAGGCTTAGAACGCCTGAGGCCCGAGCCCTCAACCCAAGTCTAGTTGCCTTACGGTTTAGGGTTTAGGGTTGCCTTAGGGTTTAGGGTTTAGGGTTTAGGGTTGCCTTAGGGTTTAGGTTTAGGGTTTAGGGGTCTAGTCAGACATCATTACTATCATTGGGTTTCTTCTTCTTGTGAGTATGACTATTATTATGAATATTGTTTTGATGATTATTGTTGTTGCGATTACTATGATTATTATTATTATTGGTTACTATTATGACTATAACGAATATGATAAGTATTGTTATGATGATGATTATTACTATTATGACAGTTATTGTTGGAATCATATGTATGCTTTTTTATTCTTGTGATAATCATTATGATGATAATGATTATTATTCTTATTGTTAGTATGCATATACATACATACATACATACATACATACATACATATATGTATATGTATATGTATATGTATATGTATATGTATATATATATATATGCATATACATGCATGCATGCATGCATGCATGCATGCATGCATGCATGCCTTCATGCATTGGGCTACATCAATCTGCAAGCATAGATGCACAAAGACAACGAGATCCCTAAGCCAATGGAGGGCCGCATACTGTG